CAATTATGTCAACAAAAGATAATTTTAATTCCACAATTCCATGCATATTCTAATTGGATGGAAGAATCACAGGATGAACACGTATTTTAAAAAATAATTTTATGAAGTAATATTATCAGTCGATGCTATTAAAATAATGATAATACAAAATAGCTATTGGAAATTCCAATCTGCAACTTTTTGCACTATTGCTAAATATTCCACTTCGCGAAAAACATGAACAAGTTTCTATACCTGCAGAAAATAAATAGGATTATGGATGAAGCTGCAGTGATAACGGAGTATATTTTTCATGTTCAAATTTTGTCATGCTAGATTTGGAAGCAAAGTTTGAAAAGCCAAATTTGTGTTGACACAATAAAACATTTTGTGATATCTTTATTGTAACCGTTTTTTTTCTTCATAACAATGTTTTAATTTAAGAAATACAAATGATTGCGAAGTAATTGCAGGGATTGATTAACGAAGTAAATAGGAGACGGAGTCTTATTTAAGGAATAAAAATCTTACTTTTAGATACACTAAAATGATTTTAAACTTATCGTGAAAATATGAACAAGCTATCTCTTAATAATCCATAAGCTTTTCGCATTTTAAAAATAAATGAAAAAAAGTAATACTTTAAATAATTTTTAGATAAGTATTGAAATTTTTTTCAGCATTTAAATTAATCAAGGCTTATTATACAGAAGGAAAAAAACTATCAAACCACAAGCTTAATGCACATAAAGCTTATTAATTAAAGATTATTATACAGAAAGAAGAAAAACAATAAAACCACAAGGAGAAATAAATGCTTAAACACTCGGAATTTTTAAAGAGCAAAAATACAGAAGGTATTTCAAAACTACGCTTGCAATTTTGAAGTAAAATGTTAGAATTTTCATTCTCAAATTATTATATTTCAACCAGCGGCCACCTGTTCAAAGAATTAACCGTGAAGTTTATGCTTAGAAACATTTAACTAAATCTACCTTTACGGGTTTGAAACCGTTTACAAATGATGTGGTTAAAAATGGTGAATTCAAAACCATACGCTTCTGTAACAATTTACAGCTAACATGGTTTTGAAACCATAAAAAAGGAATTTAACTGAACTTTGGAGTTAAATTACGTTAGGCTTTTTGTTAGGTAATGAACATTAGAGTTTTTGGTTCATTAGAGGTTTTGGTTGTGTAGTGTTTTGTTACGTGAATCGTTAAATGTGCCTTGATTAGTTTATCTACTGGTTCCATGGATCGTGAGAGAGGAGAAATACTAGGTTTTTTGTGTCAAGCAGTTCTATATTGTCTTGCTACCTATGCTTGGATGAGAGCTACTAGTCGTATAGTCCAGAGCCACCAATTGATGAGTCAGGACACTGGAGACACATGTTGAAGAGATGATGGAAATATTGCGGTGTCAACGGGGAAATTTGATCCTCCGCTCATGAGATTGGCAGCTAAGCACTATCGACTAAAGTAAGCATCCCAGTTGTAAGACCCTTAAGGACTTCATCACGTGTTCACCATGCCCTTATTATAAGATTATTAGGCATTTGCTATTATCTTGGGAATCCAATGTTGGAAAATAAAAATATGAATTCGCATTCTTTATCACATGGCTGAGCTTCCAACTATCGAAGAAAGTGTGCTCGACAAATATTGACTGTGGCGTTATTGGTAAGCGGAAATTTGCTTTAGTCTAATTGACATTTNATTATAAGATTATTAGGCATTTGCTATTATCTTGGGAATCCAATGTTGGAAAATAAAAATATGAATTCGCATTCTTTATCACATTCTTTGCATTCTTTATCACATCTATTCGCATTCTTTGAGCTTCCAACTATCGAAGAAAGTGTGCTCGACAAATATTGACTGTGGAGTTATTGGTAAGCTTCTGGTTGTTTAACCCTATTTGGTGAAAACAGCAAATAAAATATTTTTCTCACAATTAACAGTTTTTCTTCATCTATTTTATAATTACTTGGCTTTTTTTGTTAAATAAGGTAAAATAATAATTAAAAAGATATTATTTAATCATATTTTAAGAGAAATTTCTTACAATTCAATTATGTTCTAAATAAATCATTATATATTTCCGTAAAGATTTTTAAGGATCATCTAAAGACGATTTGAGGCATTTATAAAAAAAACATTTTTCTACATTTTTAAGATAATTTTTCCATACAATTTCTTTAGATTAAGAATATTATTATTATTATGATATTCTTTTTTTAAAAAAATTATTATGATTTATGTTTCTTTTTAATTCTTCTTGCAATGAAATTTTGCCTTTTAATTATCGCTGTCAAAATTCATCTCATTTTATAAAATTATGTTTCAAAGATTCAATAAAATATCATTTAGAACATTATTGAAGATATTGTCTATTTTTATCATTTATATATTATTTTTATCATTATATTTTGTCATTTATAATAAAACAAATTCATAGTTTTTTTTTATTATTTATTATATCTAGTTTTCTACCAAATTTATGCTTATTTTTTTATTTTAGTGACTTTTTTACAATGTAAAGCTATCTAATAACATTCTATGATTGTAACGAAAAATAAAGAGAATTGTAGATATTAACTTCTTATTTCTATTAATTACGCCTACAACATTTGATCTATACTCAAATTAATTCTAGCACATTCTTTACTGTCGACAAACATTCTTTGCCCTTCTTAGAAAAGACAAACGTAATTTATATAGGAATGCAGTGAGAAAACAATTAGGCTGAATGTTATTTTCAGGGATAAAAATGGAGAAGATTACCTTAAAAGGATTCTAAAAGAGCTTACTTTTGTAAATTTATATTTCTTTTTTCCTTTAAATTTCGTGAAACAGTAGCTAAACTTTACATCATGTTTAATAATTTAAAGAAATTTTCTTAAGCTAAATTAAAATAATATTTTTGTTATCATATTCACATTTAAGAATTTATCCACATTTTTATTTTTATATTAAAATGTTTTAGCAGATTATGTAAGATAGGAAAGAATTAGTCGCTAAATTATTGTAAGCTGTAAAAAATGCTTATAAATATGATTCCTTTATTTTTCTNAAGTTGTGCTCAGAGGAAAAGAGAAATTAAAAGTTGATACATATTTGCCAGTACTAGACATGCTGTGTACAGAACTGTCGCGGCGCCTAGAAGCTTACCGGGAAATAAATAATCTGTTTGGGTTTCTAACAGATTTCTCGACAAAATCCGACGCTGAAATTAGACAGGCTTGCACAAAGTTTAAGGAACATTACTTCGAGGACATTGAGCCTGAGTTTATAGACGAAGTGGTGCAGTATAAATACTTCATCTTACAATTAGAAGACGCCGGAAAAAAAATTGTGCCTGCCGAAGAGTCTTACAAACTGATTATTAGTAACATGGCACAATCCCGAATGTAATGACAGCTTTGCAAATATATAGAAGTCTAATGATTACAAACGCCACTGGTGAACGAAACTTTTCCAAATTGAAATTAATTAAAAACTGTCTTCGTTCAACTATGTCTCAAAACCGTTTAAATTCATTGGCCATAATGGCAATTGAAAATGATGTATTGGAAAAGGTTAACATTCAGGATGTCTTGAACGATTTTGTAACAAAAAAAGTTAGAAGAGTCAATATTTAAGCTTATTGTATGATTTTTTTCAAATGCATATATTAATTACTTATATTCTTTTCGTTTGATTCAATATTTTTATTGAATAATGTGATAATACACCTATGTAGTAAAAAACAGCGTTATTATGAATAAAGTGTTGTGTTAGCGAAAAAATATATTAGGAAGTTAGAAGACGGTAGGGGGGGACCCGAGACGAGCATTGCCTAGGGGCCGCGACATGCATAAGCCGGCCCTGGTTAATGCTATTGAAATTTGGCGTCGAAATTAAGCATATATATAATCAGTACCAGACAAGAATTCGTTAAGGAAAAATTACACGGTATAATCTATAAAGATACTTAAAAAATTTATTAAAGTCTGCATGTGACATCAATTTATCAAGAAATTCAATTTTATCAGATATGATAATAATAATACTGAATATATGTTCAAATTTCTCAATTTTTTTAAACACTAAACAAACACAGAACTCGAAATGTCTTCCACTTTAATGATGTGACTCAATTGTATCACTGGCTGTCCAATTCTTTATATTAGCGTCGGCAGTTTAATTACTAATATTTGCTCGATTCACAATGTCATAAACTGCATTGTCACTGTGAAAATTACCTCCACTAAGGGTACTTGTATTGTAAATATAGAATAAATGGTAAAAAGTACCAATCCCTTTGAGTGCCGTTGAGTTTTAATGCAAATTAGATGTTTTTCAAAAGATAAAATGCTGAAGGAAAAAAAAAGTCTGATTAACGAACTTCTCAGTCATCAATATTCAAACTCGAGTAACCTGTTTAATAAGATGATATACTTAATTCCAGTGCCATACCATCGCACAATTCGGATGGTTGTAAAATCAGATAAATTATATTTAAAAGCTAATCATGACGTAACTGTGGATGAGATGAAAGCTACCATGGCAATCTGTTGACATAATTTTACAGAGCAATATTAGAGTATAAATTAAATTGCTCTGTAGAGATAATATTTTGTAGTAATATTTGTCTCGAAATTTTTTGAAATTTTTAAATTTAAATGTTAAACTCATGGCTCACAGTTTTAGGTTAAATTATTACATGTGTATGAAAGTAAAGCTACTTAAAGCCTCTTTGTTTAACTAAAAACATACAGAATGCTCTAAAGTTTCTTCCAACGCACCGATGCGAAAAATCGTGAGGAGCAAGATATTTGTTAAAATTCCTTTCCAAAAGTGAAAACTTGTGCTTCCCATAATGCTTAAAAAAAGAAAGAAATCATAGAAATTTGGTTCTTAAATATTAAAATGGAATTTTTTTACACCACTCTGGATTTAATAGCTATTAAACTTTAAGTTTGTTTAGCATTTATTTTTAAATATGCAACCTAAATAAATAACATTCATTTATTGCAGAACTGCTTTAAAAAGAAAACAAAGATATAAAATAGATGCATCTTTTACAAACCATCCAATTACTCTCCAAACCAGTCACTGATCTCTAACTTCATCCATGATATACGAAGCCATTTTCTTCATGAGTAGTAAGTATGTTTAAGTTTAGATTTATACATACATATATANGAAAACACTAAGAAAGTTAAGAAAAACAATAAGTATCATTTATTGCGCTTAAGCTGCAAGTAAACAGCACTCATTAGATAAGTTCAAAATGAAGAATAAAACAAAGAAAAATTATAGACATATGAAAAAAAAGGGGGGGGCAATAATAAATAAAAAAAATAACAAAAAACAGTTTATATAAAAAAAAAAATTATAAATAAATAAATAAAAAAAAGGATGAAATTTTAATTAGAAAACCGGAGAAAAAAGATATAATCTTTCCATCGGCCCACACGATTATATCCGCAAAACAGAGTGCTTTCTGATATTGTATCAATAAAGCCAAAGCTAAATATATTAGTCCCGCAGTGGACTCATCGTTAAGACACGGTTCCCAGCAGATCACCGAAGTCAAGCATCACTGGCTATGGTCAGTGTGCGGGTGGGTGACCACTTGGATCAGCCTGCGTAGGGACCGAGGGTGTGCGGTATTGGTCCTCGTTAAACTGTTCTACCGTAAAGTGCTCGACTTCGCGTGCAGGTCGTCGGGCTACCGAAGCGGGGGTGTCATCCCCTCTGCAGAGGATCAAAATTGTGATGGCATGTCTTCGGATCATCCTCAGGGATGTTTCCCAGACCGTCGCCAATAGCCCATTTCGCAGTGTGAGGAGCACTCAAAACACAATACAGTATACAATAGTGTGAGGAGCACTCAAAAAAATTTTTGCAAAAAAAACAACAAATAAAATAGAACACAATAAGTAAAAATTTAACACGTAAAAAAAGAAAATAAAATAAGATAAAAAGAAAAAGAAAAAACAGAATGAAACATAAACTATAAAGCGAGTAGTGACTTTATAGTATAAACTATAAAGTCAAATGTACTTACATGTACTGGAAATTTTTCAAGAATGATTTAAAAAAAGATTTTGGTAATAAGATTGCCAGATTGCAAAATATGAAAACAAAAGCGCAAATTGAGCGTAACTAGAGGAGTTTTGTTTTAAAGTGCCGTTCTTGCTGCATTGCTGAAATGCGCTTGATTTGTTAGTTACCAAGGATGGGTCCGAAATGGATTTCCACATGGAAAAATTATATAATTTAACAAATATATATATATATATATATATATTATAAACTATATTATAAATAGTCTGCGTTATTAAACAAAAGTAAAATATTTATTTGCTCGAAAATACATATTCAAAAATATTAATTGTTGGAAATGGGAATAAAATGATTAAATTGTCAGATATATTGGAAAATATCTCAGATTGAAGATTGAAGACAATATTTTAGGAGTGTCTGAAAAAAATGCAGATTATGTCTGTTGAGAATTAGTTCTAAAGGATATTGTGAAGAGAATTTTGTAAGAATGAATATGTATATATTATGCTGAAATAACTTTGATTATTGTTTGAAATAGGTCTTAAGTTAATAATATTGATTATAATTGGATAAAAGTCTTGTCTTAAACAAAATTTTATTATTCTTTGGAATAAGTCTTAAGTTGAAACAATTTTTTTTTTATTCTTTGAAATAGTTCTTATGTTGAAATAATGTTGATTTTTATTTCAAACAGTTCTTCCCATTATAAGTCTCAGTATCAAAATAACGAAATTTGAAGTTCCCTCATTGGTCATTCCTGGCGATTCAGCCGTTCTCACTTGCTTCTACGATCTAGGGAGAGAGAAACTCTACTCTGTTAAGTGGTACAAGGACAAGGTGGAATTCTTCCGATTCTTTCCCAGCCTCACACCACAATACATGGCCTTTCCAGTCCCCGGAATAGACATCGATGTAAGATATTCTACAGTGATATTATGCTTTATTTTATACATGTATTGTCTGTATTTAGTTTATTAGTTAACGAAATGCTCCATTAAAAATGCTTCGGTTACCTTTTGCATAGCATTCCTTATCAGAGTTAGACTAGTACTCATGTAATATTTGTACTTGCCATAATCATAGATTTAAAGCTTAGTAAAGTACTCATTTTTCTTCCAAAAGTACAATTATTTAGAGCTAAATAACTCTCAAAAAAATTTAAGTTATGTTTTAGGTTTATTTGAGGTTGTTTTGAGGTGTTGAGGTTGATATGAAATTTGTTGGAAATTGAATTCACAAACAGCCCTACAAAATCAACCTCTCAAGGTCTTAAAATCAAGATGTATGAAATTGTTTTATTCATATTTGAGGTAGTTTTGAGGTTTATGGAAATCTACTTAGAAGCAACCAGCTAAAGGAAGTTGTTGTTTTTTTGGTGTACATGTTATTTTTTTCTATAATTCAAGCAAAGAACTATATTTGAGGTGTGAATCACTTCACTCGATCTGAGATAAAAGTATCGCTGAGCTATATTTTAGTTTGATTTTATGAGGTGTGAATTAGGTTGAAATTAAGATTTATTAATGAGGTTATTTTTGGTGCAAAACTTAACTTCATTTTCTACCTCAGGTGTATTTCTTATATCCGTCAACATAAAAAGCTCCTGGTGTTTTTTTGTAAGCAAAGCATTTTCATAGTGAAATTTATCCATTTTTTAAAAGAATTACAATTTAAAAGGAATTAATTATTATTATTTTTTAAAATTTCATTGAAATGAAATCTAAAGAAACGCTGTTATTCAGAAAAAAAATATTTGTTGTTCAAATTAATAGTACGAAAAACGGACTACAGCGGCTATTCTGTACTAAACACTACGTAATAAGTGCTTACAAGCAGCAAAACCAAATAGTGCTGCTTTATTTTTGTGGCAAAAACAAAAGAAAATTTAATAAAAATTAAATTAAACTTGGTAAAAGATATAAGAACTCTTACGTCATAAGTTTCAAAGGCTTTTAAATGTATATATTTTTTAAAAAAAGGAAAAACTAGAAAAATTTGCAATGTTTTGAAAGTAAAAGATACTCTTGTTATATTGATGCCAAGGAGAAACGGATATCATTTGCATTTGTATAAAATTCTGCATATTCTTATTTCAGTAACTACATGTTTTTAAATAATTGAGACACATATTTCATAACTATATTAACTACTAGTATTTACAATCAAAATCAGTTATAATCGAAATTTCTAAAACTAAAATTATCTTTATTTCCAGATAGATATACATCATATTCAGTTTGTCAGTTGATTCTAATAAATGTTATGAAGTAATGTATTTAATTATCTCATACCACGTTATTTAATTATATTTCTCTGAAACTATTTTAATTATATTTTAGAAGGCAAAAAATCATCAAATAAACTAGCATAATGACTGAATAAATCATTTAGAGAATAGGTCATTTGAAATCTTTAATATTTAAATTGTTTAAGGAATGAATTTATGTACACAATCTACCTAATTCTTTTGACATTATTGCGTTGCAAGATGGAAACCATAACACTGTTCAGGTAACGGTAAAAACATCGTGCTATTCTTTGCTTGATGCATATGTCACAAAGCATTTAAAAGCCGTGTCTATCTTCCTTTAGCTTGACAACTTAATATTGTTTATAAAAATTTCCTTTGTATCGATTTTCTCCTGTTCGTATTTTGTTGCTAATTTTATGCATTTGCCAAACAGTATTTAACTCGAATATTTGTATTTAGTTTTAAAACAAAGGAAAATAATTCAATTTATGACTTTCTTAAAGAATAGTTTTGAAAGAACTCGTTAAGTAAGTTTTTAGATCGATTTAGATGACATTGGTTGGTTTTTATAAAACTCATTTTTTGTTATCATTTTAGAGATTTGTTGCAAGAGTAGTTGAGAATTTTTGAATTAGTTTTATTAAACTCTCAATAATCAGACTATTTGATATTATTTCTAGATTCCAAATTACAGAAAAAATTATCTTAGTGCAGGACCCTCCGCTTACTAAAATCATGTTCGTCTTGCGGACATTTGTTTTTATAAAATGACATGATTTCATAAGTAATTCAAATCAATAATCAGAAAAAAGGTGATTTAAAGAATATAATACAATGATGTTAAATTGTTTACTACTTTCATATTTTATTTTAACTGCTTTAATTTACATTTGACTTACATATGACTGATTAAACTTTCACCGAAGGGTTATAAAATATTCGCGTATTCTTGTTTAATTATCAGAATTCGAAATTTAATATTTATCATTACTTAAAAGTTTATAAAAGTCTTTGTAATTTTCAGTATTCTATCAAAATGCCATTATATTCGAATACCTTTCGAATTTATCACTTAATATCTTTTAATACCCTTGAATTTCTCCGAGAAGTGTATTCCACATATGTACATTCATTTACTAAATTCATGTGTGTCAACTGAAATTTGTTATTTATATTCTTGCTACTTTTAACAATTTATATACTGCTTTTCAAACAGTACTATCTATATGCTACTATCAACTATCTATATGCCGGTTTTAGAGCTTGAGAAAATTCAAAAATTTAGGGGAAGAAAATATATCATTTTTTTCCTTTTTAAACATGGGCTTTCTAAAAGCTTGATTTTGATTTTATAAAATGGTGGTAAGGATTTTATTAAAAGATAATTTTATCATATTTTGCTATTGCAATGATTCTGTCCTTTCAAATTTGATTTTAAAAAGTGACTGATTTTTTTATTGATGGTAACTGTAGCGTAAAATATATGCAATATTTCCAACGTGTTTCTAAGTGTCTCAGAACAATTATTATAAAGTCGATAAAGCCCTGAATGTCCGTTTTTTGAAAGATCTAAAAAGAAATTCCTACTTTTATATTTAAACTGGAAAAATGTTTAGAAATATTGTGGTATCATCCATTTATTTAAACCAATATTAACTGAAGAAAAGTTTAAATGAAGTATTTGATTGAGAATAAAAATAAATAGTGCAACTCATATCTTCTACCAACTTAAACGAATCCGTGCTGACTTTAACCCTTGATAAAAATCCAAATTAATTGAAATGAATAATCCCTAGATACTGAAGTGGAAAGATATTCTTGATAGCGGAGAAACTTCATTAAGAAATAACGGCAAATTCTTACGGCAACAAGTGTTCGATAAATCATCTTCTGCCCCACAGTGTTGGAATTTTTGGAAAATTTAACTGAAATTCTTTCGTCCCATCGCATGAGCTAATCTTGTTGATCCGGGATCTTGTTTCATTCCTATGAATGTCGACTCCGATGACAATGATATGAGTTCCTTACCTTTCTCTAAACCTCTTTGAAATACATTCTACACTGATTTGACGCTTTTCTCTCGGATACTGCGGTTTTCTTTCTTTTTTTCAGCTTTATTTTTTCTTTTTACTTTTGTTGGCCAATTATGTTCTTTTTTTATAATTTAATTTGGTTTTCCTCTTTTACATTTATGGATCTTCATAATGGAAGCCTGCGTTTTAAATATCCCCACCTTAATATTAATAATTCGTAATTCTAATGAAGTTTTTGTTCTATCAATCACACTGTACACTTACGCACTAAACTGGAGATCTTTATATTTATTCCGAAGTTTAATATATTAAATAAGGCCATCTACCATCTACTGACAAATAAAATAAGATGTTTTAAAAATTCGGAGTTTAATGTTGGAAATGTTTAATAAACAAAAATAATCACAATGCTTCTTCTAATCATAATCGGAAGGGTTTTGTAGGAAAATGCAGAAATTACTCTCTTAAAATGAACGAGTGAAAATAACTCAACTTGAGTGCTATTTAACACTTTCATCTAGAAAAAACCGGCCTTCTCATCTTGAGTTAAAATCACTCAAGTGAAAGAGTTATATGGAAATAGCTCAATTTGAGTGAAAAATATTTCACTCAAACTTGAGTTATTTTCACTCGAGTTTGAGTGATTTTCAGTATTACCTGAGTGAATCGTTTTCACTCACACTTGAGTGATTTTAACTCGTGTTTGAGCGATTTTCAGTATTTCAGTTTGTAAATTGCAGTCAAAATTTTTACTGTTAATATTCGAAATTTTTGTATTTAGTGGTGCCATCTATCGTAAGCGATAAAAAAAACTTTAGCTTTCGTTTCAAAAAAATTCCTTTTGATAGAGAAAGCCTTAGATAGGAATTCTTTTTATCTTAACGTTTATTGAATTTAAATATCGAATTAGATAATATAGTACTTGTGAAAGTTTTCACTGTGAGCATATCGACACTGGCTGGGATTCGAACTGGCTTCCCGTCTGTCGTGAGATTGACCGATTAACCATCTCGGCTGCAGTCCTGTGNACTCCGATGACAATGATATGAGTTCCTTACCTTTCTCTAAACCTCTTTGAAATACATTCTACACTGATTTGACGCTTTTCTCTCGGATACTGCGGTTTTCTTTCTTTTTTTTCAGCTTTATTTTTTCTTTTTACTTTTTTTGGCCAATTATGTTCTTTTTTTACAATTTAATTTGATTTTCCTATTTTACATTTATGGATCTTCATAATGGAAGCCTGCGTTTTAAGTATCCCCAACTTAATAATTCGTAATTCTAATGAAGTTTTTGTTCTATCAATCACACTGTACACTTACACACTAAACTTACACACTTACACACTTGGAGATCTTTATACTTATTCCGAAGTTTAATATATTAAATAAGGCCATCTACCATCTACTGACAAATAAAATAAGATGTTTTAAAAATTCGGAGTTTAATGTTGGAAATGTTTAATAAACAAAAATAATCACAATGCTTCTTCTAAGCATAATCGGAAGGGTTTTGTAGGAAAATGCAGAAATTATATTATGTTTTTGCAGGAACAAAAATAAGTCTGGAGCCCAGCTGAATCATTTCCTGCTATATTGATTGTTTTACATAATTTTAAAGCATGAAGA